TCCAGTGTGTGTTCTACTTTCAGTATTTATCTTTGACTTGACATATAAAACTACTGTATCTTAAGTCCCAGGTATATATAGAAACCATTTTTTTTATTTGACATGAAAAAATGCATGTTATATTACTATATTAGTCCCTTTTGTTACTATTTTTAAATACTGTTTGTAATTTTGTAACAATTATAATAATAATAACATGAATAAAGAGAACTGTTTTGTATGTTCCAAAGAAAATACATTTAATATTTTTATCTCTAGTACACGATTAGTACAATTATGCAAATTTAAATTATTTTCAAAACATCCGGAATAATATGCAATAGCACTTAATCTCAAAAGAAAATGACCTGTGCGCGGGAATGATTTGGTAAGGTATCTGCAATGAGCGCATTTTTTTGCGCGGAGCTTCTCAATTGCTGCATTGCAGCAACATTTGTACTTGTTACATAGAAATGTATTGCACTGTTTTAAGAGGTTCTATGATATATCGACACTAGCAGATCAAGATAAAGTTTAACAATATTTGGTTATCTTACTTATCGTAGAAGAAACGAATGAAGTTTTGCTGCTACTATAAGTTGGAATAACATTATCTAAAAATATAAAAAATAGCGATAATAAACTACATTATATTTATCTTTATAAATGTATATATTTGCTAACGTGCTACCAGTGTGTCTATGACCAAAAAAACACAGCCCGTACTTACTATAACAGGCTGTAAGTAGCATATGTTTTAAATATGTACAGTTTTGTTATGAAGATGAATGACAAATTAAAGTGTTTGTATGTTTGTTTTTGATTTTACAGCCTAAAACATTCAATGCTTATATTAAATGCACAGCTGCTGAACAGGGCCAAGTTTGAACCTTAATAAAACGTCATTCAGATGCGAGTTATTTTCGATACAAATTTCTGTAGAAAAGTGTATATGTACCAAAGGATATTTTGCTGGCTTTGTTGATGACTGTGGAGTTCCAGGTAAATAGATAGATAGGTTATTCACTCTCTTTGGCATAAAAATCAAAGACAATACTTGTTACATTTGCATTTGAAAGAAGTCGCTAAACTTATTCTACAGTATTTTAATGTATATTCTGAAACAGAGCAGTAAACACTTGGGTTTCATTAGAGTGATTGTCTTATAAGTTTGCCGTGTTAGGCTTTCTATAAAGCTGCACGCCTCCAGACGAGCCAAAATATTTCAAGAAAATAAATATTGAGAAAAATGTACTAGAATTTTACGAAAGATAAAAACATTCTAAGACTCAAGTTGAATTTTACATGTTATATGCGGTTAAAGACTGATTTTGCGGTATGTTATCACCATATTTCTACTGCGTTACTAACACAGAAAGGGCTGTTTTTGCATATGTTGACCACTTTTTTTTGGAAATTTTCTTGGATTGTAAGTGGCGATTGTAATATGTAAATTACTTTATATGTTCACCTCAAAACATTTTACTTTTAAAAACATTTCTGAAATTATCAGACATGAATGAATGTAGGCATGCTGCTTTAAGGACTCTTTTTACTCTATTTAATCTATTTAAATTGGTTTTAATATAAACATCTCATTTTACAAAAACTGCTTATGAAAACAGTAGAGAAGTTCATGTAAAAGAAAAAGAATTGGAGAATAAAATACTATAAGAGGAAGCTATTTATTGGAAGAACAATATCAATTCAACTCACAATTTGAATATATAAACACTAACATAAAGATAATATTTCAAAGTAACTGATCAAAGTTAAAAAACAACAAAAAAAAAAACAAAAAAAAAAAAACACACACACACACACACACACACACACACACCAAATTAACATCAAAATGTGCAAAATCAGCCCTAAATGCGTGAGTCACGAAAAATAGTTTTATTTTTCATTACAATCTTAGTAAATTCTATCTAAAGTTGATTTTCTTGAATACTTTTTTCATGAAGCTTTAATCTGTTGAGATGAAACAACATAACTAGCGAAGATGAAAGTAAATCCGGTTCTGGCATTGTCTCTGGAGCCACCATCAACTGCCTTATACTGCCGTAAAGGAGAAGCTCTAAATTTACGAACAAGACATTGTTCAGAGATGTCAGTGCATCGAGTCGCGGTGAATGAGCTGCAAAACATAGGGGATGCGCTGGGTGTACAAGTTTCACGGTGGTGAATATACGTAAATTTATGCGTTTTCTTTGATCTATACGATTTGTCACCGGTTTCTATACATACATGTATACAGTAAGTGTTTTAGAAAATTTGTCATAGGTCATAAACATTTACATTTTTACATAAATCAGCATTGATTTTTTTTATTTTTACCATTTTCACGGATCATTTCATATACTTGTACATAACTTTTTTTACCTAGTCAAACATGTACAATCGCACGTTATGCATAAAAAATGCGTACTGAATGTAAAATCATGATTCTTCGATCTGTAAATATTCAGTGATGAGTGAAAAACCTATTACTTCATTTAGATGACATTTGTACGGTGGCACAAAGGTGACATATGTGTGTTTTTATTTATCTCGTTGCCACAAGATACTATGTCGTGGTCATGAGTTACTAAATCGTGGCCACGAGATAGCTAAGTCGCGGCCACGAGATAAATAACCAATCAGATAACACCATTTATGTGAACTTCACTAATTAGCTAGACATGTACAAGGATGCCCGTTCTTCACCAGCCTGTAAAAGTGCCATTTATACAACTTATTGACTTGTCAATAATTTTGCATTTAGCGTTACTAGGACCCTGAATTTTGACCCAGTCACCTCGAAATTATTAGATGTCATCTACTGATCAGGTGCAATGATTTTTCTAGGTTATAATGTTATATTAACCATGGCTTATCCCTTCTAAATTATTCATCAGACAAGGATTTTTGCTTATAGGCTATTTACTGTTCATGGGCAATGTCCCTTACAAATAAAATAAACCAGGACTGATTCCTTCTCATGTTATCGTATAAACACGGTTAACAGGCCGTAGTACGTACAAACTGACCAATTTGATCACAAACTTGCCCAACAAAGAGCTATAGTCAAAATTAATGTCTGCCTCTGATGGGCCTTTGAAGATGACTTTCTAATATGATCTTAAAGACAAGTTCAAAGTGAATATCTTCAGTATTTTCAAAGATAAATGTTGCATGTAGAAGTAAGTTCATAATATATATATAGTGTATTCTGATTGGTTAATTATCTCGTGGCCACGACTTAGCTATCTCGTTCCCACGACTTAGTAACTCGTGGCCACGACATAGTATCTCGTGGCCACGATATAGTATCTTGTGGCCACAACTTAGCTATCTCGTGGCCACGATATATGATCTCGTGGCCACGACTTAGCTATCTCGTGTCCACGACTTAGCTATCTCGTGGCCACGACATATTATCTCGTGGCCTCGACTAAGCTATCTCGTGTACACAGGACACTACTGACGCACTGATCTGACACACACAGGACACTACTGACACACTGATCTAACACACAGGACACTACTGACATACAGATCTGACACACACATGACACTACCAGCATACTCATCTGACACACACAGGACACTACAGACATAGTGATCTGACACACACAGGACACTACCAGCATAATCACCTGACACACACAGGACACTACTGACATACTGATCTGACACACACAGAACACTACTGACATACTGATCTGACACACACAGGACACTACTGACATACTGATCTGACACACACAGGACACTACTGACATACTGACCTGACACACACAGAACACTACTGACATACTGATCTGACACACACAGTACACTACTGACATACAGATCTGACACACACAGTACACTACTGACATACTGACTTGACACACACAGGACACTACTGACATACAGATGTGACACACACAGGACACTTCTGACGCACTGACCTGACACACACAGGACACTACTGACATACAGATCTGACACACACAGTACACTACTGACACACTGACCAGACACACACAGGAAATTACTGACATACTGACCTGACACAGATACACAAAGAACATAACTCACATACTTACCAGACTAACAGGACACTACTGACATACTTGACACTACTGACACACTGATCTGACACAGATACACAAAGATCATAGCTCACATACTTACCTGACTAACAGGACACTACTCACATACTGACACACACCCACACACACGCATACATACACACACACACACACACACAGGACATAAATCTCATACGGACACACTCACAGGCTGACTCGGAACACAGAGCACATTCACACAGGACACTGCTGACATAGTTACATTACTAATTAAACACTGCTCACATACTGACCTGACACACACGGGACACTACTCACACACTGACCTGATTCACAGGTCATTACTCATACTCTGACCTGACACACAGGACACTATTCACACACTGACATGACAAACCCAAGACACTACTGACACACAGACTTGACACATACGAAACACTACTGACACAATGTCCTGACTCACAGGACACTACTTACACACCACTGACTTGACACATTCGACACTTCTCACATACTGACCTGACACACCCAGGACATTACTCACACACTGACCTGATTCACAGGGCATTACTCATACTCTGACCTGACACACAGGACACTATTCACACACTGACATGACAAACCCAAGACACTACTGACACACAGACTTGACACATACGAAACACTTATGACACAATGTCCTGACTCACAGGACACTACTTACACACCACTGACTTGACACATTCCACACTTCTCACATACTTACCTGACACACACAGGACATTACTAAAAGACTGACTCACCACAGAGCACTACACTCGCAGACTGACTTAACACACATAAGACACATTCTTACCTGATACACACAGGACACTAATCACATACTGACCTGACACAAACAGATACTACTCACACACTAACTCATAGGACACTTCTCAAACACTGACCGGACTTACACACTTATCTGATACACTTTACAAAATGCACCGCTACTCACACACTGACTCACAGAGCACCATTTACTTACCAGATGAAGCACTTCTCGTTCAATGTACATGGCACACAGAGCACCCACATAGTAGACATGGCACATAAAGAGCATCATCATTGTCATCATCAGTACATCATCACCATAACTAATTTGAATTATTGAAAACCACAAGTTAAACATATTTATCTGATGTTTTTCGATTTCGAAGTGATTTTGAAACTTAATATACATATAATTGGATGATAATTATTATTATAAATTATTTTAATTATACTGATAATGATGAAAGACATGAAAATTATTATATGAAGACGGTGTTGATAACGATTTTTATGATTTGTATGTTGATGATAATAACGATTTTGATCATGGTTTTAATAATGAAGACATTGGAGGTGATGACAATTTTGATGATGATGATGGCGGTGATGATGATTCAAATAATGGTGATGAACGAGGTGATTATGAATTTGATGATGATACGCGTGATAGTGTTTTAATTAATGATGAGGATGATTTTGATGTTTATTATAAATTTGATAATAACTTTGATGGAGGAGTTGAAAATTATGATTTTGATGATGATGGGGAAAAAGTGAGGACGAGAGTATAATGATTTTAATGCTGATGATTTTGATGATGATGGACCTGATGTTGAGGTAAATGATGATGGTGATGTTGATGAAAATCAAGGTCACTGTGATAATTGTTATGACTTTGATGGTGATTATGACGATGATGTTGAAAATGTGAGTAAACATTTTCATGGTGACGATATGGTTCATTTTTAGCCAATTTCATGACGGGAAGCTTAATTCGTTGAAGCGAGACACCAATTTTGAAATCGATGCATATTGTAGACGAACATACCTCACGTGTGCTTTATTTAGGAAATAGATACCAATTCTGAGTTTTTATTTAGGAAATAGATATTAATTCTGAGTGCATTGTTGTAGAATAATGCACTGTTTGTGTTCAAATGCGTAGGTATATAGTCACGAAGGCCGGTAGGCCTGAGTGATTAATTACAGAGCATTTAAACGAAGAAATGTACATTATTCCCTGCGGTCTGGAGACCGCAGGGTATTGGTACGCGTTTTACTTTTGAGGCATGGAGGAGCACGTGACCTGTTTTCGGTACATGGAGGAGCATGTGATCTGTAAACCGTACATGATTGGTTAATTGGTCTTTTCGAAATTCTAGCTAAATACCGTTTGCCGGTACGTTACGGATTAACCTGTAGGGTATTAGTCCGAATTACCCCTAAACTATTACGTGATATTTCTAATTTTCTATAATTATTTTACCGTTTACGGTGGAAAAACTTGAATGATGTGTTTGAAAATTATCAATGTTTATTTAATATCTATCTCAAACTTTACAAACAATAAATTGATTATACTGAAAATCTACAAAATTAAAATATTCGTAGTGGCATCTGCCATACTAAATAGAGATATTTTCTGCGTAAACTTGTGTGTTTACTTTATTTATTTTTGCTCGGAATTATTCATGAAATGGTAGGCCTATTTAATCATTTTCTTTAAAAGAAATAATTGTTTTATGTTCGACTTTCTACGGTCTTCAACGGTAATCAGTTTCCAAAGACTATTGATCGTTCATTCAATTGTCAACTATATTCTTGATACAAACGTTTATTTATCCCCCGCCACCCCAAATTTTGTTGAAAATAGTAAAATGAAATATCTTTATATCATAAAATTGTTCACCGCAGGAAAGCATTTTACTTGTTTTACAATTATTGACTAGTGTGCTATTGAATATGATGTGATATTCACCGGCAGATGACATATTGACCGAGGCTATATGAATAGGCTATAAAAATTTTAGAAAAGAAAATTCACAGAAAGAACATTCTTATACAACTTTCGCGCGGGGAAAAAGACGCACAAGTCATGGCGTGCAACAATTACGCGAACGCTGCGCATACAAAAATAATTGAAGTTTAAACTCATCATTGCAGTATAACCTTTGACTATTCTAGTAAAGTAATACTATTTTATTCGAGAAATATGCCTTAAAGAACAAAACGCCGCAATCATTTGTAATAAACAGTCTACGATATATGGTCATAAACCATTTTAAGACCGCGAAAATCCAATTCAGCCAGTGAATATGATACTCCACCCAGTGAATATGATTCTATAAAAAGTTCTGTTTACTACTGTTTGAACCAATGAGATTGCAGCTATATTTAGTTCATATAATAATATACTTTAATGCAAGAAGAATTAACATCTATTTCCATTTTAATTTGTCGCTAAATTGTGATAAACACCACCTTTAACGTCTTTACAGCGTTAATGACTAAATTAAAGATAGAGGATATTGAATGAGTGTAACTTTAATACTTTATTTATTGAACGAGTTGAATAAAGATAAATTAAGCGAGCCTCTGGCGTAATATTATTTTATTCAACGAGTTCAATAAATTCAGTAATGAACTTACACGAATTTATAGAGGATATTTGTTTGTTTTGCATGTAAGATTGAAATATAATTTCACTGAGTGAACACCAGATGCAATATTTTCACGAGTGGCATAGCCACGAATGAAAATATAATAGCTGGTGTTCACGAATGAAATATATTTCAATCTTATATGTAAAACAAATAAATTTTCTTTTTATTTCATGCTTTTTAAGTGATTTTTAGTATTTTTTTACTGATTTTGCCGCGTAACGTCGCGCATTCTCCTTTTTGACGTCATCACATCATGACGTCACATCATCAATTTTGAAATTTCACTTGTGGTTTATCAGAATAAAATCATGATAAACCACTAGTGAAATTATAAAATATAATTTTCACTGTAGCCGGACTATATCTGAATGCGGATGAAAAGAATATCATAACCAAATGGAATAACAGGCAGAAATAAATGCCGTCAAACGTAAATTTGCTGATTTAGGAAAAGAAAGTCAATGTCATTATACATCTTATCACACACCCGTGCCGATTTTGCGACTCCGTAAAAATGGTATTGCACGGCCGTGCATATATTTTGACGTGACGTCATTAGCGTTATACAAACATAGTGTAAAGACGCGCTAAATGTTAGCGTTATACTATAGGCGTGTCAATGAAAAATGACTCTTATTTCACTTTAAACGGTATTTATTTTGGGTATGTGATAAATAGAATATTAAATTCGTGTAAGTTCATTACTGAATTTATTGCACTCGTTGAATAAAATAATATTATGCTCGCCAGAGGCTCGCATAATATAATTTTATTCATCTCGTGCAATAAATTCAGTATTGAACTTACACTCATTCAATATCCTCTATATGTTAAAAATCTAACAAAATCAGAGAAATTTAACACAACTTTATTTCTTATGATGTGACGTAATGCTATAATGACGTCACAAAGAAGAATACGCGACGTTACGTGGCAAAATCATTAAAAAATACTTAAAATCACTAAAAAAAAGCATAAAATAATAAGAAAATTTATTTGTTTTACATATAAGATTGAAATATATTTCATTCGTGAACACCAGCTAATATATTTTCACTCGTGAAAATATTACATCTGGTGTTCACTCAGTGAAATTATATTTCAATCTTACATGCCAAACAAACAAATATCCTCTATGTGTTCGGATTTATTTTCTAAGTAAGACCATTTTCTATCAATCTAGATAGTTTTCTGAACAAAAATCAACAAAAAGTTTACTTTAAAACAAAATGCCAATGCGTCGGTTTGAAAATTCAAAGGGAGGAAGTAGTGGTTTTTGTAACTTCAATAGAGAAGATTACTTTGATCCTTTATGAGTGAGTTATTTTGACACGACACAACTGTTTTGTTATGATATTTTTTTTCCAGAAGATGTAAGTCGACACCAATGACTTGTCCGCAAAATTTCAGGCCACCATACGCCCACACCGTTTTTTTTTTTTTTTTTTTTTTCCTCAGAAAAAAGTTTTTATTGGGAAGTTATTATTCAAAATGACCAGCATTTGAATATTTTTATCTCAAAACCATTCTGCTAATGATAGCACAAATTTACGAGTTTATATTTAATTCTGATAGGACAAAAAGGTAAAAAAAAACAAATGATCGAAACATGTTCCGCTTTAATAAGCTTCATCAGTTGATGTGACAAATAACAAAGGAAATGACGTAAACGTACCAAGCAGACGTCTACGTTAATTGCAACCTCCACGCAGTGATCTCCCCTTAATTCTTCGGCATAGATCTTTGCCACCATGGTCCGATATATCAGAATTTCTGATATACTATATTTTTTCAAAAATTGTTTTATCTACTGCTTTTATCTGTCAGATAATTTTTTTTTCCCATTTATTTAACAATGTTTATGAATAAAAAAATAAATAATATGAATATTTAGAAATAATTTTAAAATTATGAGAATATTTTCTACCGAGACAATATTTTGATATTTTTTATTTTTTAGCTTTTGAATTTATTTTTCGCTATTTTGTACACTTTTGATAATTGTTTGATAAACTATATCGAACGTGGGCACTAAAAGTTAAAAATAAAACAGAAAGAGAAAAATGACGTTAGATTTTCTATGTAACGGTCGATATTTACATTTGAATTTCGACGTTACGTCATGTGACTTTCATCATCATGTGACGTCTTTGAAGGCAGTGATTACAATTCTGCCAAGGGAGGTAATCACTGTGAGGAGTTTGCGTTAATTGACGCCAGATTTGGCGCGTAAAAGAAACGTTATACAATTAAAAAAATTCTTCTATTACTGTAATATCATATAAAATATGTACATGTGTATATACATACACACGTCATTATTTTAAATAGCATATATAATTTTCAAAAAGATTAATACCAAAAGACACATACATTTTCACAGAGAACAGGGCTTGTAAATAAATTCAACAAGTGTGAAAATAACAGTTACTTATGTTTCGAAAAATACTTGCTTATATCACATTTTGAAATCGTAAAAAAGTAGATAATAATTTAGAAAACATCGCTATCATTCAGCGTATCTTATGAAGCAAATAAAATAAAATGTATCTATCTATTATCTATTTAAGTTATGGCATTATGTATGTTATAGAAAAAATTCAATGACCATATGAGTACACTTTGAATAATGTACTATATGATATTATATAATCTAAATATAGCTGCAATCTCATTGGTCCAAACAGTAGTCAACAGAACTTTTTATCAAATCATATTCACTGGGTGTAGTATCGTATTCACTATTTTTTGTTGGGGACAATTAACAACTGTGTGAAAAAGGTTAACAAATTTTCATTGCTGGTGTGCTTTAGTTGGTTTACCAATTAATAATGCTAAAACTTGTCGGCCATGCAGAATCATGTTTTTAGTTGGAATTGAATTGGACTCGGTACTAATGGAGAAAATATTGCCCCAAGAAAAATTTAATAAGATTCGCCTAGCTCTTGACAAATTCAAGCATCGGGAAAAAGCAACTCTCCTTGAAATACAGTCTTTTAGTGGTTTGCTTAATTTTGCTTGTGCTGTTATTGTTCCAGGCAGGGCATTTTTACGTCGTATCATTGATCTAACTATTGGTTTAAAGAAATCTCACCATCATAGACAGTTATCAAAAGATGCTAGAGCAG